CTCACATGGCCTGATTATCAGCCCTAATTAGAATTAAATAAAAGAAAATTGATGATTTTTTTCTTGATTCTTAACTCATCAACATCATTTAAACAATCTTTTACATAAATATTGGTACTTGAGTTGTTCTATTAATGAGTTTGATTTATATATATAGAGATGTATGTATAGCCATTTAATATTACTTGCATGGAGGCCCAAGTCCAGGCCCAAAACGACAATGACTGCTACTTCAGTGGTGGATCATACGACGTCGTCAGCTTCGTCGATTGGATTGGGGGAAAAGAAACCACCAAACGACGTCGTTAGCTCTAAACCCTGAACCTCCGCTTTCTGTATTGTTGAAATTTTCTCTTCTTCTCTCCATTCAATCAATGATGATATGTTTTTCGCAATAGATTTTGTATATGCAAAGATATAATCAGTGGATAAATTCAATTTTTGTAATCGAGAAAAAAGGATTAACCTAAAATGACATTGTTATCACGAATTGTCCGCTCCTGCTCGAGAAATCATTCGGGAGCAGCGTCTGCGCAGATTTTCAGCCGGTAATTTTATTAGTTTTTTTTATGTTAATTCAATTCCTTCTAAATTGAAGAATTTGTTATTTTAATGGCTGATTAAAGCTAATTGAAACTCTCTGTTGGTGGGGAAGTTTAACTTGAGAATCTGTTGTTATTCAGCATATGTTGAATGTAATGTATTTACAGCCATGGGGTTTGTTTGGTTTTAAAGTAAAGCTGCTTATTTAAAAGCGGAAGCTGGTTTATTTTAGTGTTTGCAAAAGCTTATTTAATAGCAGAAGTTGTGGATTGTGAGTTAAAGTTGATTTGAAGTGCTTATTTCTAAAAGTTGGGGGTGTTTGCAAATTTACTGGTAAATAAACTTATATAGAAAAAACATGGTCATGGGTGCTTAACAAATTATAGCTTAAAGTTGCTTATTTTAAGAGACGCAAAAGCAAAAGTTCATTTTGCAAAAACTTAAAAGTAGATTATGAACAAAAAAAAAAAGCTCATAATCTATTTGTAAAAGCTATTGCAAACACCACCTTAATGCTCGTGAAATGAAATGGCGCAATTTTACTTGCGCCCATGATTAATTGGATAATTTTGAGGAGAGAAAATAGAGACGGATTATAGTGGTGAAACATGTTACTTGTATCTGATAATTGTTGTTGTTGTTTTTTTAAGGTTTGGTGCATCGACGAGATTTTCGTCGTCAATCTACACAAGATCTGCCCCAATTAATACACCTCCTCGTCCGTTTTCTGAACAGACAATGGTGAGGTATGTATCTCTCTTTTTTAATACTGCACACAAAATGGGGTTTACTATCATGTGCAACTGCTTGTGTTTCTGTGATTTTTTCATCGAATCGAGTTTCTAATATCCCATCAAGAAAGTCGGTGCCGGAAATTAAATGAAAAAAAATATAGCATGTGGAACAGTTTTATTTTACAAATGCTTACCGTATCACAAGCCCACTTACATCTCGCTACATTTCGATGTAGATATGGTTCATCGAAGAGATTCTACTCTTCAAGCTCAAGATCCACGAGTAACCCTAAGCGTCAACTTCCATTATATGAATCGGACGTGACTCATAATAAGCCTTGGGGATATTTTCTAATAGTACGCTACCATAGCTTCGTCTTCGTTTCAAGAAAGCTTTTCATAATTTTATATTCTATTAAACTTTGCTCGTTTTTCTGTCTCTCGTCAGCTTTCCTTTTAATTTTCTTCATCTCAGATTTATCATTGCAGCCTGGTTCCGTTCTTGCTGGAATTGGTGGACTGGTTTTGTTCATCCGCCATAATGATGAAAAGAGAGTAGTGCTGAAAGGTGACCTCTTGTTTATTTATACAAAGATCCGTTTCTTGTGTGTATATACATCTATATATAGATTGATGTGTCTGTGTGTGTGCGCATGTATATATCAACATGAAATCGACGTTATATCCTTGATCCAATCTTAGGATGAGTCTTTTTGCCATATAATTCCATAATTTTTCTTATATATATATATATATATATATATATATATATATATATATATATATATATATATATATATATATATATACATACATATATATATATTACACACCGTGTAAGTTTTTTGTTTGTTGTAATAGGTGAGGGAGAAAAGTATGAAAGAAGTGCGAATAAAGGGCCAATAATTGGGGGCCCCCTCTCTCTAATTGATACAGAAGGTCAGATTGTAACCGAAAAGAATCTTATCGGGAATTGGGTTCTTTTATACTTTGGTTACACTTCGTCTCCTGATGTGGGCCCCGCAGAAGTTCGAAAGATGGCCAATACCATTGATATATTAGGTTCTACTCCTTAACTCGAAGTCCAAATTTTTATAATCTTTTTTTATGTTTTATGTGTCGTTACTGAAATATTTCATTTGATTGGGAGAAAAAAAAAGAGTCGAGACAGAATATCAAGGTCTTGCCCGTATTTGTCACGATTGATCCTCAGCGGGACACTCCCTCACATCTTCGTACTTATATTAGAGGCAAGTCTTTCTTGATTCGATTTTATGTAGCTGTACAATTTTGCGTTTCACGACTGTGTCAAGGAGAAAATCAAGTCTAATGTGATTAATTTTTTTTTTCATTTTTTAAAATCATTTCCGATTGTTGTCTACGATCTTTAATTTAACTTACAAGCAATATATATATCTGCTTCATTTACAAGTAAAAGTCTTATTCTAGTTTTGAACGAAGTGCAGAGTTTGACTCGAGAATAGTGGGATTGACCGGACCAGTTGCTGCTATAAGACAAATCGCACAAGAATACAGAGTGTTCTTTAAAAAAATTGATGAACAAGGAGATGATTATCTTGTCGACACTTCTCATAACATGTAAACCCTATAAACTTTTACACCCTCTATCCGATTTTAATTTTCTTTTTGTTTTTCAACCATAACTATTTTTTTTTTTTTTGGTAAAATATAAACAGGTACTTGATAAATCCAAATATGGAGGTGGAAAGATCGTTTGGTGTTGAGTATAGCACGGATGAGCTGGCGGAGGCGATAACCAAAGAGATAAAGAAAAGCAAAATAACAAATTCGCAAAATTGATGTGTCGAACACGCAGGTTGTGAAAATTTCTCCCCTTTGTCACAATTGACAATTTTTAGACGAATTTTCTGAAGTATTGCATTTTCATTATTTTGTTGTACTATTGGAGTGATTATTACAAAGAGGTTAATGTTCTGTCTTTGGAGGTATTTTCGATTTGTTTTCCCGAGTTTTTGTTTTTTGCTAAAACGTGTCGTTTCTTACACGTACGTAAACTCCTCCTTGTGTGTGCTCGCGTGCGTGTGCGCTTCTCCAAAAATCTATTAAAAAAAGATGCAGAAAGATAGAGAGATGAGTTTAATACATGAGTTTCATGACTTATCTTGCCTTATCTTGTCTTTTATGGAGGCTTTTTGTTGGACGTCTCAGAGTCCGAAAAATAATTGAGTTTTCATTAGACTATTTAATTTTATCTTAGCATTCAATCGAGGCCCTAGATGTACTAGATAAACCTTTATTTTTATGTAATAAAGTGTGAGTGCAATAGTAGCAATATCATGTTTTGTTTTGTCTAATGAAAGGAGAAAATAAAGTTGACCAAATTTGGAATAGAAAGTCAAAAGACCATAAATACAGACATATACGTGGGTTGCTCAAACCCACCTATAAACTAGACGTGGACTCCTCTCTTTCATGAGAGAGAGAGAGAGAGAGAGAGAGAGAGAGAGAGAGAGAGATCTTTCCTCTCTGTTTATGGGCTGTAGTATTATTGTTTATTTCGTTTTATTATGTTTTCTTGAATATTTAAAAGATTTTTTTTATGTACATCTTATAATAGGGGTGAAAATCGGAATGGAATCTACGAATTATTTCGTCTATTTATATTTGAATATTAGCAGATGCAACACACGTTAAACTGATGATTTAAAAGTTTATAAGATTTTAGAAGCAACTAAATAATTTTAATAGAAATCACAAAATAAATGTAAAATTTATAAGATTTTAGAAGCAACTAAATAATTTCAACATAGCATAAATTAAAACACAGTACAACATTATGATTTTTATGTAATAAGACATTTGAAGATTTTTGTTATATTAGAGCAAGAAAGAGAAAAAAGAAAAAAAATGGTTCATTTATTTCATTTCTATTTATTTTCTTATAAAAAGAAAATAGATACACACTTCTAATATGTTTCCCGACCGAGTCTTGCGGAGTCCTCATTCATT